ACCTCCCTGACCTACAGAACCTCCCTGACCTACAGAACCTCCCTGACATACAGAACCTCCCTGACACACAGAACCTCCCTGACATACAGAACCTCCCTGACCTGCACAAGGCGAGGTCAGTGAACAAGGCCAGGCTGATTCTGGCAGATCCTGATCATCCACTCCATGGTGAGTTCAGGTTGCTTCCATCTGGACGCAGGTATCTGCTGCCCAGATGTAGAACGAACAGACTGAAAAACTCATTCATCCCTGTAGTGATGAGGCTTCTCAACCGACCGTGATGATTTCTGTTCGGTTATTTTAACGTCTTAAAGTCTTGTGTAGTATGAATGTTCAGTGTGCCTACTGACTGTGAAACAAATTGCCCCTCGGGGATAATAAAGATTCTTGAACTTGAACTAACCAGCCACAAAGTTTAGAGCTCCCAGTTGTGGTCCCTCTTACTGCAGGGTTTAAGATGGAAGAGCTCGGATAAGGCACTCATTTCATTATTTTTTTCTGAAACAAAATATAACTGATGCATCAGACTATGTTTAATCTGTAAATAATTTATTATTTCACAGGCCAAACAGAACGAGCTCATAGGCCAGATTAAGTCTGGGAACAGCCAGGTACAACTGAACTTTGAAGCAAAAAAAAAAAAAGGAACAAAATAGTTTGAAATAGGTTCAACACGGAGTAAGAACTTAAAATAGTAGTAATATAATCACGAGACGTTCACTTGCTTGTTACCTCTGACATGTTCTGATTCTTATCACCCACTGCTGAAAGGCAAGCGATGTTCTTGACCACAACAGTTAATCAACATTTTAATTATGCAGTTTCTGAGAACACTGTGAGCACAATGACCACAAAAACAGATGCGTATCTCACATTAAATTAACTGAAACCTCAACCTAAAAACTTGTGGGGAAAGCTGTCGACCAGTACTACCGGTACACATAAACAAAAACACACGTTGGTGTTTGTGCATTTCTGATCAGTGGCAACAAAACGGCTCATTACGAACTTTGACAGATTAACTTTGAGGAACTGAAGAAACACTGAACTGCATGACTGCTAATGCACTGAAAAAAAAATCTCTTCAGGCAAATTGTGTTTACAGAGAACATTTGAAATCCTACACCTACAGCACCTCCCCCTAAAGACGAAACAATATCCCTCAAATGGAAAGATGTGCATTAAGGTTTGATTAGCTTATTTTAAGTAATATTGTCTGGTCCTTTTGAGCTGCAGTTTTAAAGCTATTTAGTTGGAGCTTTTGTTTTGAAGGTGATCCACTGAACAGATTTTATTAAAACTTTCAGAGTATGAACTTTACTTTATTAAGTCAACTCACTTCAAGTTGGCCTCCACAGCACAGTGACCTTAGGAAGCAGAAGAGTGGCTGCAAATCAGTCACTTTTACAGATGTTGAGCTAAAATTGGTGTGGTAGTGGCTGAGAGTCATCCTCAACCCATTCTATGAGTGCTATCTGACAAGATCTCACATTATCCCAGGTGCTCCTGCACATCACAAGGTTGGACAAAAACGGCTACAGTTTCTCTGCATAAAGTGATTTTACTTTAACCCTGAGTATGATGATGTGTATTCAAGGAGTGGTAGTCCTTTAAATATACAACTCCTATATTAGGATGCCACAACTACGTCAGCCTTACAGTCTTACCATTGCTCAGATCTTCCTCCTCCTCATCATCTTCCTCCTCATCCAGTTCTTCGTCCTCATACATGTCTGACACGTCACTGTCATCAGAGTCCTCATCATCACCCGCTTGCTGCAGCTCTGCTGACGGCTTCAGTGTGTCCTCCACATCAGCTTTCTGTCCATTTCCCTCCGCCTCAGTGACCAGATGTGGGGCCTCTGTGGCGGGACAGTCTCCCGTGGACTCCGACAGCCCAGTCCCACTGATATTCTGCATACCCTGTTGACTCCCTGTGCGAGTCAGCCTTCCACAGGTCTGTGGTGCTGACAGTCTGCTCTGCTGGGGGTCTGAGGGCTGCTTCGCTGCACCTGCTTCTTGTCCATGTCTGACCTGTCTTCTCCGTTTGTCTGACATTGAAGCAAGACAGGTAGACGTCTCTACAGATGTGTCAGGACTCCAGGAAATCGCAGATGAGAGCTGAATGTCCAGGGTTTACTCAGCGGCTATACCTGTAGAGAAGAGCAGGTGTTAAGTCAACATGCTAATTCACTTTCAACATGAATCTAATTACACGAAAACAATATATTTTTTAAAATTTTACCTCACCTTTCGGGTGACATCCTCGAAGTAACAACTCATCTGACTCGTGGTCCTTCAGCAAATGTATTTTATCTTGATTAAATTCCTTTACGACACACCTACACACTGGCTTTTTTAGCTCACTTAGCAAACAGTGAGGATGGCACAGCAGCGACTTTTGCTTTATTTATTAAATCCCAAACAGGCGAAAGGCATAACGCGAGAATTAAAAGCGAAACGATGATTTATTCTCCCAAGACGGCGAGGAAACCTGCGAGCTGCTGAAACGATGTCCAACACCGACCTGGCAGCACAAAACAACAAAGGCAAACAGACGAAGAAACCATAGACACAACGACAGGAGGAGGAACGGTTCAATCCCGCTGCTCGAGGAGCGCCCCCTCGTGTCCTGGAGAGGTATTGCAGGTCAAGTCTGCTCATTTAAACTAAACGGTACAGGGTCAGGTCCTCTGGACGGATTCTTCTTTGTGGAAACGTTTCATCTTTTATCCAAAATACTTCTTCTGTCTGAGGAGCTGCAACAAACTCAGTCTCAGTCTCACCTGATCAACCAGTTTGCTGGCGGTGACAGCAAAAACTAGTTGTTCGCATGCAAAACAATCAATCTATCAATTGATCATTAGTGCTCTGATGGCTGCTTGCTATTCACAGGGGACTGAGTGATACTAGCAATAACAGCATTGTAAGAGGGGGACAGGAGGCCTCCGCCCGTTTAATGACGGTTTCTCTTCACAAAAATGTCTTCCTTCACTCCTCTCTCAAACCATCGTTCCTCTTTATCAAGGATGTGAAAATCTTCATCCCTGAAAGAGTGACCGCTGGCCTGGAGATGAGTGAAGACCTGATGCTGCTATTGTGCTGGGCCATCTTGTTGTCCAGTGGTTGTTGTGTTTCTCGCAGTTCTTCTGGCACTGAACAGCAATATTATCACTATATATTACTGTATATTATAATTTTTAGTAGTATTATTATTACTATTATTAGCAACAATATTACTCTGTTTGTGCCGGGGGACTGGATCTTTGGGATGAACCAGTCTTTGCCGTAATGTATTTTGGGGTTTAAAAGCCACTGGGACGTTGTGCTTAGAAAATAAACGTCTCAGTTTCTCTGATACTACCTCAACATACGGAATGACCACTGGTCTGGGTTCCTCCTTTTCACCTGCTGGCTGACTGGAGTCCTGTTTGGGTTTCTTCTCTGCTTTCAGGAAGGCCCAGTTAGGATATCCACATTGCTCTAGAGCCTGTCTTGTGTAGGATTTCTCCTTCTGCCTGGCTCCTGAGTTAGTGGGGATGCTGTCTGCTCTGTGATACAGAGTCCTGATGACTCTTAACTTGTGCTCCAAATGGTGATGGGAGTCAAACTGCAAATACTGGTCTGTGTGGGTGGGTTTCTGGTACATATCAGTTTGCAGAGGTCCTCCATCAGAGACTGAGACCTCACAGTCCAAGACAGCCTGCCATCTTTTACATCTTCTCGTGTGAACTTTGCATATTTATCCACAGAGTTGATGTGATCAGTGAAATGTAAAATGTGTTTATTTATACTGTATTAAGGTTTTTAGACCACTTTAAAAAAAAAAAAAAACAATTGCAAGGTTCTAATATGCTAATACATTTTTTCTTAATCTTTTATAAGTGCAACTGAAAACATGCTAAGACCTTTTTATAAACTTTTGTCATTTTTGTTACGAGTCCCTATCTGAAAATGTTAAAGTAGCAGCAACACTTCTACAAAGATTTGGGAGAGGACTTGACCTCTTTACTACATTCCCCTTTTTCCTGAACAGTCAACTCCAAGTACTTGAAGTCCTGACCTTTGTGACCTCTGCTCCTTGTAGCCACCGGCCTTTCTTCCATCTGTACATGTATTCTGACTTTCATTCCTTGTTTTTTTTTTTTTAAGTGTATACCTCAGTTCAATTAAATTGAGTTTATTTATACAACTTCTGGGCAGCATGGTGGCTCAGTTAGTAGAGCTGTTGCCTCTCAATGAGAAGGTTGCCGGATTAAATCCCGGCTGAGGGTCTTTCTGGGTGGAGTTTGCATGTTCTCTCTGTGCATGTGTGTGTCATGATCTGCAGTTTTGGTTTGAACCCATGTGCAGGAAAGCAGGAGGACTCGATTGTAAAAAATAAATATTTATTGTGATAAAAAAACAAAAACAGGAAAAAAAAAATGCTGATGGGACAGCAAAACTTACCTTAAAGATGACAGGACAGGTGGAGCAGGTATAACACCGTGGAAAGCTCTGATGCCAAAGGAGTGAAAACACACAATCTAAATACTGACACTAATGATGTGAGAGGATGGACACCTGGGGTGATTGGAATTAGGATCAGCTGTGGATGACGACACAGAAAACACAGAGGTGCAGGGAGACAGAAACAGAAGAGTCAGGGTGGGTTTTCTCCAGGTACTCCAGTTTCCTCCCACAGACCAAAAACTAGACTGACTGGTAACTCTAAATTGTCCCTAGGTGAGAGTGAGATAGTATATGGTTGTCTCATTTGTCTCTATGTGGCCCTGTGATGGACTGGAGACCTGTCCAGGGTCTCCCTCTCTTCTCACACAGTGACTGCTGGATATGGGCACCAGTGACCCCCTCGACCCAAAAAGAAGAAGCAAAGATAAAGGATGGATGGATATACCTCCTTTTCCACCTGTTCTCACCACAGACCGTCATCTGCAGACATCATAATTCACAGGAAGTCCTGCCTGTCCTTTTAGACTTCTTGTTTTTCACAAGTCACACACCATCATCTGATGCTGTTTGACCACGCCCTCCCCTGCTACAACTTCAGTCTCCAAGCTCCCTCAGGTTCCGTCTTCTGCACAGAACGTAGTCGACCTGCGTACTCCTGCCTCAAGTCTTAAAGGTCACTCTATTTTCTTCTTTCTTTTGGAAACAAATGTTGAGAACAGCTCTTTCCATCCTGTAGGCAAAATCCACCACCAAGATGTTTTCATGCTGTTTCGCCTGAGGATCACAGGCATCCAGTACTGCTTGATGTTATGAACTGTACGTGGGATGAAGTGTTGTAAGCTCAATCATCCAGGTAGATCAACAAAAAATGTTAAATCGTATCACCTGGACCAGTTTCTTTAAGTGAGAAACGTATCGTCCCCCTTCCAAAGACTTCTTCATAACTTTTTTTGTACTTGATCACTGCTTAGGATGAGTGTTTTGCACGCGTAGTCTACTTCTGAGATTCCAACAAGAGGTTGGCTTGCAACACAGCAGTGAAGGATACCTATGGGACAGATCTGGTTGGCAGGTCGTAGACTGAGGAAGTCCTCTGGATGGGGGATGAAAGATTTCTCACTTCAAGAAACTGGTCCAGATGACACAATTTAACATTTTTTGTTGGACATGGGATGGTCTTCCTGATCTGTCGAGGAACATTACTCAGAAGTTTCCCTATTCCGTTTTGCAGACTGGTGAATCTAAAATTCTTACAAAAACAAAAAATAACCACAATACGTCATTTCTTCAGCAGCCTCCTTCAGGATAGCGTGATTTATTACATTTTTGAGCAGTGTCCAGAGCCATTGCAGTAGGGGAGAGAAAATCTAAAAGGTGAAATACATGATGTACATTTTCTAACAGGTCTCAGGGGGGCTTTAAAGAATCGGTTTCGAAACGCTACGACATGAATTAATTTAACACATGAAAAATATAAAAAAAGAGCAAATTGTAGCATAAAACAAAACAGGATTATTGTGGATATTTTCTGCCCACATGACAACTACTCCATTTTGAATATGGAAAACTTTGCCAAAAGATTACTCTTATATTAAAAAAAAAAAATCTTTTTATGTGAAATTTAATTTAATCAAAATATTAAAGAGTAAAAAGGAAGCTGAAACTGTACATAACATTTCTTTTGCCTAAACATGTTAACACAGTATCTCTACAAGGCATCTAGCTTGTTCAAATGATGTGATTATTTGATTTGTTTCAAAGAAAAATAAAGACAAAACCAGTTTTAACAAAACGAGTTCATTAACTCAAGACATCAAATAAGTTTATAGCACACATTTCACACAAAAACAACCGAAGTTATTGGAAAACTGAACTTTTTAAAAAATAAACTACGTTTTATGACGGTGTAATAAATGGGTTTGACAACTGGTTAGTCAATTTACAAGATGCATCTGACCATAATTTCTTCTTCTTTTTTTTTTTTTATCAAACAGATTCAAATTTGACAACCTCTTAAAAAATGATTCTCAAAGGTGTTTGGAAAACCTTCTCAACTATATTGTCCTCCAACCTAAAAGAAAAAGGGGCAACTTCATGACTAAAAATATTCAAAAAGCACAAACTTTTCTGCAGGGTCCCCATGTTCTAATTATCTTTTTGCACTTGGGGTCTCAGGTTTCTCCTCTGGGTGGCTCTTCTGGTGAGCACTCAGGGTGCGCTCACGGCTGAAGCTCTTCCCGCAGGTCGGACAGGCGAAGCGTCCAACGGCGTGAGCCCGCAACATGTGGGCGTCCAGCTGCTCGGGACGGGCGAAGCTCTCGTCACATTCCTCACAGGGATGGGCTTTCCGTGGCGTGTGTTTCTCCTTCTTGTGGGCGCGGAGCTGAACCAAGCCAGGGAACACGAGGTCACAGTCGGGACAGGGGTGCTGACGGGGTGGAGTGGGCTCTGCTTTAGGCTTCATCTCCTTTGCTTGACCCTGAGGGTCATCTTCGGCACTTACGTCTTCCGTTTCTGATTTGGGAGTTGCTTTGGGAGGACGGCCACGCTTCGCTCCGACTGTTTTTCCCTTTTCTTCTGCTGGCTCCAACGTGCTGCTGGCCTTCGCCGTCTCCTCTACCTCGTCCTTCTTTCTTTTCTTCCCCTTTTTCTCACCACCTGCGGGGTCTTCGGTTTTGGGAGGCCGCCCACGTTTCTTGATGGGTGAAGCGCTGCCATTGCATTGCTGACCTTCAGGATACTTCTCCTGGTGCTCCAGCAGCTCTGATTCGGCTTCAAACCCCTGCCCGCACTTCTTACAGTGATGGGTTTTTGTAGGGTCCTCTAGCTGTTCTGCAGTCTCATCCGGGCGTGGATGCTGGGTCAGGCGATGAGTCCGCAGCAGGCCAGGACTACGGAAGACTGCGTTGCAATCTTTACAAACAATCTGTCTCTCTGGACACACCTGTCTCCTATGAGTTGTGAGCTACAAATAAAATAGACACACAAAAAGTAAAATAATTACAGGTAATGCCAGAAATGCTTTAGTTTTCACCACCTTACTAGTTTTTTTTAATTAAAGTTAAAATCTTCCCACCTCTGAAAACGTTTTAAAGCTCTCCTTGCAGTGAATGCATTTGAAGGGTTTGTCGTCACTGCTGTGCATTGGCTGGTGTTGTGTTAATTCCTCTGACGATGGAAAAGAGCGGTCGCACACGTAGCATGTAAACAGCGTGTTTCCCTGTTAGGAGACAAAATTAAAACAATTTAAGGCCAAAAACAAAAATCCCTTTTATTAATGATCACTGCAAAATGTTAAGTTGGAAGATAAAAAAAAGGATTTTACTCCCTAGGATGTTTTACCTATTTATTGCTTTTATAAAGTCATGATCAATATAATTTGGAAACAAAACAACTTATTCAATGACAAAGTGAAAATAATTTTTTCTTTTTCTTTAGGCTGTTCCGCTCTACAGACTGTCACAGCAAGTGAACTCTCAAAGAGATTCAATAATTGTTTTAACGCTGGATACCCTTCCTGACGCAACATGGACTCAAACCCACAGCCTCAGAATAATGATTTTATTTTATTTTTACTAAATAATGCCAATTAAATAAAAACATATGTGCAGAAATTCACTTTTGCATAAATATTTACCCAATTTAAAATGACAGTCCTAATTCAACAGAGATCCATCCACTTGGTGCTGGAAGTCTTGCAACTAGAATCACTTGAAGGTCAGTGGATGAATTTCAAGTGATTGCAGTGTAAGAACACCTGTGTTTAGAAGAACTACTCATCACTATTGCTGGCTACCGTTACAAGTCAAGGGATGGACATAAGGACAAGGATTTCCAAGGCCCTAAACATTCCCAGGAGTTGATTAGTAAAAAATGTAAGGAATATAGATCATGTGTAAATTTACCAAGAGCAAGACATCCTCACAAACTGAGTGACTGTGAATGAAGGAGAACAATGAGGCTAAGTTTACACTGCAGGCTAAACTGTCCCAAATCCGTTTTGTTTTTATCCCCGTAAGCAACTCATATTGAATTTTTAAATTCTTTATTATGGCCGTCTGAAAGTGACATATCTGATTTTTATCAAAGCGACCACTTTATGAACCGTCAATTCGCATTTGATCCAACATTTGTTAGTGGTGTAAGGGTATGAGAATCGATACCAAGTATTAATACTCATCCTAACCTCACGCAGTTTAAATCATGAAACTCTGCACATCTTCAGCTACAGAATAAAAGTCCAGTTGCTTCGGTTCTGTTCTTTTTAAAATTTGCCTTCCTGATGACTGAGGATAAACAGCAGCATTGTTGGAGTCAGACCATATCAATACTAACGTGGAGGAACAGATACTTGGGTTTGTTTCACTTTTTGTGAAACGTTTTGATCCCTTTATAAAAATACAATGCTGGGCTGAAGTAGCCAGCAAGAAGCAAGATCAAATGTAAACACTAGATGAAACAATCATGTCTGATAATGGTTTAATCAGTTCTGATAGCAGAACAACTTTAAAATCAACACACACATGCTAATGTGTGTGGCGTGAATACTTCTGTAACCACAGCATGATGCATGTGACGTCACGTCTTCAGGGCCATAGTCACATTGGGGTTTGCCGACAGTGGCATTAAAATTATAACGTGAACAACCATGCAATAAAATGTATCTTCACAAACAATTGGAAGTGAGCATTCAGAACTGCAGCATGACCATTGCCTTAGTGTAAATGTGTTACAAAGGGTTTAGATAGATTTATCAATGAAGAGGCACAATTATTTATAAAGTGTACAGTTTTAATACACTTTATTATTGACTGAGGGTTGCAACTCTAAATGTGGGGACAATGACAGGCAAAGGTAGAGAACTGGCTGACATGATGCAGAGAAGGATGTTAGAAATGCAGCTGCCAGGAAAACGATGAAGGGAAGATATATGGATGCAGTTAGAGAGAACATGGAGGTAGTTGGGAGTGAGGACAGAGGATGCTACTGTGCACACAGAACCACGCGTTGTGCAATATACCTGCTGAAGCTGTTGTTTGTACTCTTCCCGATGGCTCTTCTTCATGTGCCTCTCCTTGGCTTTGGCATTGCAGAATGTGATGAAACACTGGAAACACTGCAGGTTTTCATGCTGGTCTGACAGATCATGCAAGAGAAAATGGTTACAGTTTAGATGGACGTTTGAAACAGAGCTGAACCTGTTAAGGAGCGCACCACTCACAGGACTGGACAGCAGGTGCCTGAGGTCCATTCAGAACGAGAGGTTTGCACGGCTCTGCTGGCTTTTCAGGGGGAGCTTCAGGAGGTGGATTTGGGATTCCCCCCATCACGATCTCCTCTACGTTCAGAATCTCTGAGTCCATGACTGCAAGTAGGCCAAAGTTGTTCTGAATACAACACAATGAGCAAAAATAAACACATGAAATATATCAAAACACACCAACATGATTAACAGCGGGAAACACATGCCTAATACAAACACAAATGATCAAGAAATAAACCAAAAAACCTATCAAAAATAAAAACTTCTTATAAAGGTGAATAAATATAAATGCTGATGGAACGATTTATGAAATAGACCTAGCAATTCAGCTAGGACAAACACTCAAGTTTTAGTTCAAGTTAACCTAAGGCCCCGCCAGCTAAGCTAACTAGCTAAATGCTAGCTTTTAAGTAACCGATAAATAGCTGCTATAAAAAAACTGAATAGCCAAATAGGTTAGCTAAACCCCTTAATTGTCAACCATATTCAGACAAAATGTATACATTTGCATGTCGCTGGCGTGTGTAAAGTACCAAGCTAGTTGAGCGGGTTAGCGCTAGCTAGCTACTCGCTAGTTAGCGCTAACAACAATATATCGTCATTCAAAAGAGCACCGCAGATTTTGTGCCTGAAGTTTAAACCAAGCGCCTAAATAAATCTGCTGAGGAACAATCTGCGGTGCATAATATACCCTACAGTAAACTTATATAAAATAATACGGTGAAAACAAAATATTAGAATGAGTAGCGGTTACCTCTACGCGCTCTCAGAATGTAGTTTGACTGAGTCAACCCTAGAAGTACAACAGATAGATTGTACACTTCCCGTGCCTCTGTGTTGTGATTGGTACAGTTAAGATGGCTGCCTGCGTTGGGAGAGCCTTCGTTGTTTGTTTTGTGCAATAAAAACAATATATCAAATAAAAGTCTGCACATTTTTACAGTAGCTATTAATAATGTTGTACTGCAAATAATAACTTTCCCGTAAAATAAAAAATAACACCTAACAGAAATGGATTCTACGGTTAGCGCACTCCTTTTTAATATATCGGATGATGATCTGGGTAAATGGCGACGCAGAAGCCTGCAACGCTTCTTAAAACAGAACAAACTCCACCCACCCTGCTAGCCACTTCATCGCCTGGGATACAAATGGTGTGCAGCCACGGTCAAAGAGAAAATTATGTTTGTTTCCAAGTTGTGTGTTGCTGCTACCAGTTAAGACTGATGTAGACTGTACATAATAAAATGCGGCAAATATAACATCAGGACCTTTTTTTAAACAAGGACCGTAAAACCAGTTAAAAACTTGACTTGTTTCTTTACTATGAAAAAACAGTAAAGTAATCAAGTTATGTTTATTTGTGCAGGTGAACGAGAGAACACACAAGGTCAACGATATGGAGGTGGATTTTACTTTTGTGTCTGATGTGCAGATGTTACTCGTTTAAAACTTTATCTGAATATGAAATTTAAAAAAAAAACGACCAAAAAAAGGGCCTGAATTTTAACTCTACACATGGCATAGAATAATAATTAAAAAAAAACAGCAGCAGCATTTGTTAAAATGAACAACTATTTATTGTTGTAATATTGAAAGGTAATAATGTAAGGATAAGGATGCAAATTTCAACTCATCATAAATTAAAACTGTGTAAATTTATTTGGCAGCACATTATTGACAATGTCTTTAGATTATGTTCCAAGAAAACATGATAAAAAATTGCAGTTTTCTGTTTACACTTGTACTTATTTACCCAATATTAAAATACTGATGATGTTTGAGACTTTCCTTCAATTTTTGGGGATGTTTTTACAAGACAATTTAAAAAAGTTAGAAATGCACTTCAATAAATAGTAAAATGAGAAAAAAAATGGTGCTAGTTAATTTTATATCTGCATATTTTTCACAGTTTCATTATCCTGATTTTATACATACAGACTTATTGTATCGTGAGTTACTGTGACACTTGAATGCACCAGATCTGTAACATATTTTAATAGACGTGTCAAAGATTTTACAAAAAGTGTTGCTGTTCAAAAAATACAAATTAATAATTCCATTATCTTTTTTTCTTTTACTGGTTTCTTGAAATCAAAATAAATAATGCTTGAATTCACAGAACTAAAAATCTGCTTACAATTAATGTAAAACTAGATCAGCTCAAAAATAAATATTAAAAAACAAACAATTCTGGTACAGAGTATGGTAAGCCTCTTTTCACTTTCCCCCTCGTGACAAATTAATATATTTACAACTGGTCTAAGAGTTAATGAGACATCATAAGGAACATTTCTTGTTTAAAATGCCTCAAAACAATCCTACACAGGAATGACGGTGCTGGCGAAAAGCACCATGGACAAGTAAGGATGGAGGAGTTTGGGTTAACACACACCAAAAAGACAATTACATTCTAAATAAGAACAAATATTCTAAAAGTACAACGTAAACTTATAATCAGGATTCAAACTAGTTTTATGATTTCATGCCTTTTCCTTCAGAACTGAGTGATTCCATGTTTCCTTTACTTGATCAAAGAAAAGCCACCGTGACTACAATTATTTCTCTCTATTTGATTTCTAAAGCAAGAAGTATGGAATTTTGAAAAATAATAGTTTGTGGCATGTCTGATTTATTTTCTTTAAACCAAATGAAACAAAAGAACATAAGAGCGGTGGTTCCATACTTTCCCCCAGAGGTTGTAGCGTCACTACTCTTTCCCCAAACTGCCTTGATTATGAAAATTCAAAAAGCAGTTGTGGTTGCGTGAGATACAAAGAAAGACGCAACACTTAAGGCATAACACTCGTGACGTCCTCTGACAGTCTCCAAACCGACACCTGCCCCCCTCACCCTCTCCAAGCTGCTCGGGCCAGTGGCCAGAACCATCGTACCGATTGGCTGCGTCGGGCAGAGGACTCTCCTCCAACAGGATGGGACTGGGAGTATCACTTGCTCTGTGAGCCTTCTCTGAAGGAGGCTGAGGGGGAACTGAGTCCTGAGTGTCCGAGCGGCTGCAGTGGATCAGAGCCTTAGACACCTCCAGTCTGAAGGCCATGAAGGTCAGAGGTGCGGAATCTGCTCTGCAGTCCTGCCGGTACAGGAGCCAGGAGTTCACCAGAGCCGCATCCGTCAGGTACCACAGCACCGCTTGGGGCCAGCAGGTCGGTGCAGACGCCGTCATGGGGATGGAGTACAAGTTTTGCAGGTCTCTGCTGAAACGAGCCGAGGTCTGGGCCTTCTCAAAGCAGTCGATGAGGGAGGTCATGCTCCTCTGGCCGTTCCCAGCAGTAGAAAGTATGAAGCCGCTGTAAGACCTGCGCAGCATCAGCTTTCCGTCAGAGCTCACAAACTCATCCCCAATGTGTCCTCGGGCCCCTCCCACTTTGCCCGCTCCGTGTACCCCAGCAGCTAAAAGGCGTTCCAGCATCGCGGGGGTGGACAGTTCCTGCTTACAAAGGAACACTGTGCTGCCTTTAGGGACCATTTTTTCCACCGTGTCCTCTTTGTCCGACAGGTCCAGTTTGAGATCCACATGTATGAGCAAACCGTCGAGCCCAGTTAACGTAGAGCAGTGGAGAGACGGCTTGTTATCGTGATTCGTACTGATCAGAGGAAGCGAGTATTGATCTACGGCATAATCACCTTGATGTTTGAGTGACTCGCACCCTGCGTTGAACTGACACAACAATGGCAGAACCTTCCACAGAGGATCAGTCTGCGTTTGTAAACTGTTTGAGATGTTGCTTTCATACCGCCCGTCCCTGCTTGGAGAAATGACACCCGGACTGCTCGGGCAAGCTTTACTCTGCTCTTGGCTGTTTACATCACTGTTAAATGAATCTTTAGAAGGAGAAGTCAGCTTCAACGTGTGAGACAGCTCAAGGAAACGGGTTAAGTTGATGGCTTCGGCAATCAATGGTACCTTCGTAGACTCCTCCCAGTAGAGCCTCGGACTGGGAAACTGAAAAGCAACAACAGACTTATTGACTTACATTTCTGCTGTCCTCCATCTAACTACCAACAAATAATTTAAGAACTCAGAGCAACAGGAATACAGACCTTCAACGTTCCCATTGCAATATGGATCCCAACAAAACATGCAACTTCTTTGGACGTGACAGGATTTTGTACGTTGGATTGTTTATTTGTGCAAGTGGCAATTTCAACCCACGTGTCCCAACTAAAATATTTGGAGAAGTAATTAATGGGCTCTCTTGTCCAGTTTTCAACACTTTGAGCTTGGAGCTGTATCGTAGACGTTGGCAAACTATGAAAGAAAGAAAAAAAAGCATTTGGTCTTATAATACATGTAAGCTATTTTCTTCTTCAACAACTTAATGTAAAAATGAGTAATTTACTAAAATAAGAAACAATGTTTACAGTCTTATGTGCTTTAGTGTTGCCAACTGAAAGCTTGAGGAGGTAAAAAATAAAGTATTACTGTACCTTGTCGACGTTTGACTTGGTTGTTCGCTTCTTGATCTGTACTGGCTGAAGTACATCAAAATGTCTGCTTCTCTGTCAAGATGGGGCTCAGATAATCCAAACTTCTTTATGCCTTCTTCATCAGAGCTCTGGAGCAGAAAGTCCCGGAGGTCTGATGGATGCTGCCACTCAGAGTCAGATGCAGCTGAAAGATCAATTACTATTATTTAATGAAATAATTAGAGAATGGAACTTAAATTCGTTGCGAACTGTGAGCACAAACCTTGTCTGGCTGTGAATTCATCCACTACTTCACTGACCCCAGGTTCTGATTGACCTCTGACAACTGTCTCCTGATAGTCTGCTGGAGATGGTCTTCTTTCATCTGTTTCATCAAAATTTAAATAGTTTTCCCAT